TAGTGTATTGGATGAAAGAGACTATTAAAAGTCGACTTGGGAGACAAATTTCAAAATTAGGCTTCATTCTCTTTTCTGCCGCTTCGACTGGTGCTGCTCTGGAAAGCTGCCCAGTTTGGCAAACCTGTGCCCAAAAATGCAAAACATTTCTTACACCAGGAAAACACTTGCAGTGTCTTTTACAGCATGTTGGTCTCACAGGAACCAGGCTGCAGTATCTTAAGTGTAACTATGAGTTTAACAGATTTTCTAAACCAGGGGTAAAACAATGCATAGATCATAGGGTTTAGACAGGAGTTAAAATAGTACAACCATATCACAAAGGCAGCAGATGAAGCATTCATGAAGTTATCTTGCCCTGTAAGACTAACACAATAAGATGGGCAGAGACATATTAAAAACACAACTACAACAACACCAAGAGTCCTGGCTGCTTTCAGCTCAGATTTTTTAGTAGTTACTGTCACTGAACCCTGGAGTGTGACAGCTGCAATGTGAGACCTCATGGCACGAGCCTGAGACACAGCCACCAGAAACACTCTCATATACAGAACTACAATAAGAGTAATGGGAGCAATGAAGGAAATAATAAAATCTGCAATGTAGTTCATGATAAAAATACACTGTCCAAAGCAGAAGTTAAACCTGCCTGGTTGTTCCAGGACATCTTTCAGAATCAGACTTTCATAGATTACAGAACATGTCCAACAAAGACAAACTTGGATCTTGACTCTTTTTAGTGTGATTTTGGTGGAGTAATGCAGAGGATAACAAATGGCCACATAGCGGTCAATAGATATGAGCACCATGTTTCCTAATGAAGTAGAAGCAATAATGTATGCCACATACTGATACACAGCACACATGAAGTCACCGATGTACCAGCAGCCGTCAATGAGCATAATTTGAAACAATATGAGAAAAAGAAATCGGAGGCAGCCAGAGAGACGATGAAGAGGCTGGTGGGGGTGTGGAGCTGCCTGGAGAGGAAAACCAGAAATAGATTTATCATTATTTATAATATCAGTTGTCATAATATAAAAGCAGAAAACAACAAAGAATGAAATACAAAAAGTTTAGTAAAAATAACATTTTCTCTCACAATTTGAAAACAGGTGATGTTTTCTTTTATCACAAAGTGCTGACTTTTTGCTATCTACTACATTAAAAAATGAATGAAATATCTGGATACTTGAAGTGGGAGACAGAGATGATGACCAGCAGGTTGAGAGACACAGTGAGCAGAGAGATGGAGAACACTAGAATGTAAGTCAGTATGGTCTCAAAGTGAGGACGCTTTGGCTTCACACAGGAGGCGTTGATGAGCTGTGGAAAGCAGAGTTCAGTTTCCTCTGAGGTCTCCATCACCAGAGAGAAGCTGCTGAAGTCTGGCAGCTTTTTGACCAAAGCTTCCTGTCGTACAGCTGATTTATATCTTTCCTCACCTCCCACCCCTCTTCCTCCTCAGCTCTGCTGCTGTTTTTGTATCCATAGAGATTGAAAAAATCTGAGCTGAAAGCAGCCAGGACTCTTGGTGTTGTTGTAGTTGTGTTTATAATGTGTCTCATCCCATATTATTGTGTTTCTCTTACAGGCCAAGATAGCATGATGAATGCTTCCTCCGCTACCTTTGTTATATTTTTGACCTTTTTTAACCCTGGTTTAGAAAATCAGTTAAACTCATTGTTACTCTTAAAATACTGCAGTCTGACTCCTGTGAGACCAACATGCTATAAAGAGACATTGCAAATATTCTTTTTTTCATGTGGATACAAAATCAAAATAAAAAAAAGATAATTTGAAATAACTGCCAGATGTCCAGTGTAGTCTACTTAGTAGTTGGTCTCTGATGTCTAATGCAGAACTTGTATTGTTAAAAAGAATTGAACACTACTTATACTGCACTGAGCATCTGATACTGAGAAATACTGTAGGCAGACTACATGAAGACTCACCCTGAGCTTTACCCTTGTCAACAAACTGCTGCTGCTCATTTTGTGACCCTGCAGTTCATTTACTCACATATGAGAATCATGTTATTTATGTTTCATCCAAAAATGAAAATATGATCCACACCAGAATTCACTGCAATAGTGATACAACAGTATCAAATCAAATCAAATCAAATCAAATTTTACTTGTATAGCACCAAATCACAACAAAAGTCATCTCAGGACACTTCACAAAGTAAGGTCTAGACCTTACTGTTATCACTATTATTACATAGGGAAAACCCAACAAATCCCCCTTGAGCAAGCACTTGGCGACAATGGGGAGGAAAAACTCCCTTTAACGGAAGAAACCTCTGACAGACCCCGGCTCTTGGTGGGTGACCTTCTGCCTCGACCGGTTGAGGTGAGGGGATAGAGGAGAGACAAAAGAAGAAAAGCAACAAGACACAACAAACACTGGTCAGGTTGATGTGACCGGTGACTGCTCATCAGAAACATAGAGCTCCAGAGCCAGGGCAGCCTGCAGAAAGGTACGTGTGTAAGTGTGCCCTCAACAAAAATTATGTAGTAGTCCTTCATTCATTGGGTTTAACAATAGAAGGTTTAAAATGATAAACAATAATCTATTTTAATCTAATCCATGAAATTAAACTAATGGATGTCCTAAACCAGAGCACTGAGGCATTTTGGGGTTTGTATGAGCTGTAAATGCAAACATTTGGCAGACATTAAAAAAAAACCTCACTGTGCTGTGTTAAAACAGTGAAGACACACACAGAGTGAATGACCTACTGAGCCTCAAAATTAAAAAAAAAACAAACAAAAAAAGGTGATTGTATGATAATAGCTGCAGTGTGTGATGTGAATAGGCAGATGTTTTGTAAATGTTTCACATTTATTGTACAGGCTTTATTGTACTTCTTTATGATAAAGTTGTACGTGTACAGTGAGCTCTGATACGTATTTGTAAGTACACAGGAACAACATGCTAATTTTGAAAAATAAGGGGAACTTGGGAACTTGGAATGTATTTATACTGTAAGTATTATCTGTGTAAGGGGTATCTATTCTAACATTACCTGGTCTGTATTATGATACATGCTACACCCTTTCATCTGGCATAAACTTTAATGGTGTAGGTACTTTTACTGCAGGATACCTGCTCTATAATTACAGGCTATTAGATGAACATAACAAAAGTGTAGTAATGATTTTTTGCTATGGTTCTATGTCACAGTTAGCATATAGGCTACAGATGAAAGAGTTTTGTATAGCCTATGTTCGTCCTTAGGACAGTCTCATCCCACTTCACCAGCAAATGTTAGATGGTTTTATGACTGTGGTGCCCCCCCCCAACCCATTTTGAGAGCCAAATGCAAATAAAATGAAAGATGAACACAACATTGTTTCTCAGCTCAAGCTTTTGTTAATAGTGTAATGCTAACTTGCAGGTAGTTTTCCTGTGGTTGGATTGTAACATTAAGTTAAGAGTTGTCACCTGAAGATGGCAGACTGAATTAAGACCTCTGGTCATAGTGAGTTTGGAGCTCCCTCTACTGGGCTAACTGTGCGACTGTATGAAACTACAATGCAGTCCACATCCATCCAGTCATCTATACCACTTATTCCTGAATAGGGTCTAGGGGGTGCTGGAGCCTAGGTACTGTGGTATTCTGTTGAGGGCAAGAGTCGGGGAAGCACTTTGAACCATAGAAACCTCCAAAACCAACTGACAGGGTGACGTTCGTGAAGAAGTGGACATCATGAGCATTACGAAGAAGGTCATCATGGAAGACAGTAATGCTGTTCCAGTTAAACAGGAAATGCTGCCAGAAGTGAAACTCAGCCTTAGATGATATCGATGCAAACTGTACCAGTGAGTGAGGAAACACAAGAGGTGAGGGAGAGTAGGTAGGAGATGAAAGCCAGGCCTTGAGGAATGATATGAAGAGCCTAGTTGAGCCGAACAAGAGGTGAAAGCAGTTAAAGTTTGGAGCAAGAAAGTGCCAGGAGTAAGCTGGAGATCAGGTTGATGTGGTTGAGTCTGGAGGACGGCAGGGAAGATAGGTACCATGTATATTTGGATCCCTAAAAACTCCAGCAAGGTGGAGGGACCTTCAGTCTTTTCTTTAGCTAGAGGTACTTTGAATGAGGAAATGAGGGTGGACAGGCCTGGGACAGGGAAAAGATGGAGGAGACACTGGGAAAAAATTGTCCACAAGGTGAACCAAGTATGGAATTTTGGAGGTGCACGAGGCTTCTGCAAATTAGTCAAACAACTTAGGGCTGCACCAGCGTATCCTGAAGAGGTGCCAGAAGTCTGAGCGAAGAGGCAGGACTTATTAAACTCTAGCTAGTTTAATAAGTGAAATAGCATGATGTACTGAAACGTATTTCAATTTCAGCACACACACACTCACTCACTCCTACGGGCAATGTAGAGTTACCAATCAACCTAAGCCGCATGTCTTTGGACAGTGGGAGGAAGCCCGAGTATCCGGAGAGAACCCACGCAAGTATGAGGAGAACATGCAAACTCTGCACAGAAAGGTCGTGAACTCAGAACCTTCTCGCTGCGAGGCAATGGCGCTACCCACCGTGCCACCGCACTGCCCCAATGAGAAGTCATAACTGCAAATCAAACAGTTTATACTGGGGGTCGATCTGCCATGAGGAGCAAAGAGGTTGACAATAAGACTTTTTTGTCAGAGTATTTTCCGGTTGCTACTCCTATGTGGTAGATGTGAATGGCGGAGAAAGTCAGTTGGTGAGATTAACATTTTCAGCGCCACAGACTGATTCAGCTCCGCAAACTGATAGCGGACATTTGGCGCATGGTGGGAAGTGGACATCACACATCATAGTCATCCCCATCACTGAGGAGAATGAGCACAGAAGGCACAGAGCTTCAGTCTCTGTGGTGACAGAAACAACAACAGAAGTGAAGAGAAAGGAGGGGTGGGAGGTGAGAAAAGAGATAAATCATATGTGCTGCAGAAGGCTTCGGTCAAAAAGCTGCCAGAGTTTGTCAGCTTCTCCTCTCTGATGATGGAGACCTCGAAGGCAACTGAACTCTGCTTTCCACAGCTCCTCAACAAATCCTGTGTCAAGTCACAGCGTCCTCAGTTTGAGGCCATGCTGACTTACGTTGTACTGTTCTCCATCTCTCTGCTCAGTGCATTTCTCAACCTGCTGGTCATCATCTCTGTCTCCCACTTCAAGTAGACAAATATTTCATTAATTGATGAAACTTGTAAATAGTAATAAAAAGCTCACTCTTTGGAATTAAGGAAATATAATCACCTGATTTCCAAATGTGAGACTAAAGTATTTTTTGCAAAGATTATTTTATTTGTCTTTGTTGTATCTTTTTTATCTTAATGGTAACTAACATTTTAAATAATGATAAATGTATTGCTGCTCTTCCTCTCCAGGCAGCTCCACACCCCTACGAACCTCCTCATCCTCTCTTTGGCTGTCTCAGATTTCTTCATGGGCCTCCTCATGTTGTTTCAAATTATGCTCATAGACGGCTGCTGGTACCTTGGTGATCTCATGTGTGCTGTGTATCAGTATGCAGACTACGTTATTACTTCTACATCAGTAGGAAACATGGTTCTTATATCTGTTGACCGCTATGTGGCCATTTGTGATCCTCTGCATTATTCCACCAAAATCACACAAAAAAGAGTTAAGATCTGGGTTAGTCTGTGTTGGATATGTTCAGTAATCTTTCAGAGTCAGATTCTGAATGATGTTCTGGAACAACCAGGCAGGTTTAACTCCTGCTTTGGAGAGTGTTTCATTGTCATTAACTACATTGCTGGACTTGCAGATCTTATTTTTTCTTTTATTGCTCCCATTACTCTTATTGTAGTTCTGTATATGAGAGTGTTTATGGTGGCTGTGTCTCAGGCTCGTGCCATGAGGTCTCACATTTCAGCTGTCACACTCCAGGGTTCAGTGAAAGTAACTACTAAAAAATCTGAGCTGAAAGCTGCCGGAACTCTGGGTGTCGTTGTTCTTGTGTTTTTAATATGTCTCTGTCCATATTATTGTGTTGCTCTTACAGGCCAAGATAACATGTTGAATGCTTCCTCTGCTGCCTTTGTGATATGTTTGTACTATATTAACGCCTGTCTAAACCCTCTGATCTATGCCTTTTTTTACTCCTGGTTTAGAAAATCAGTTAAACTCATTGCTACACTTAAGATACTGCAGCCCAACTCTTGTGATGCCAACATGCTGTAGAGCAGCACTGCAAATTTACGCTCCCTCGGTAACAAGATGGATGAACTAGAGCTTCAGGTGGCAATGAACAGGTTGGTTAAGGACTGTTGTGTTATGTTTTTCACCGAGACCTGGCTTGATTCATCCATACCGGATGCGGCTATCGAGCTAGTAGGCCGCACTGTACATCGTCATGACAGGAGTGGGGACTCTGGTAAGAGCAGAGGAGGGGGACTATGCATATATGTGAATAATTCCTGGTGTACTAACTCTAAGATCGTTGCCAGTCACTGCTCCCCGGATGTGGAGTATATGATGGTTAAATGCAGACCTATCTATCTTCCAAGAGAGTTCACTGCTGTCATGGCAATTGCTGTGTACATACCTCCTGATGCTAGCGCCAACTTGGCACTGGGACTTTTGCATAGCATGATTAGCAGTAGCCAAGACAAGTACCCCGAGGCTGTACATATTATTGCCGGGGATTTTAATCATGCTGAGTTAAAAACTGTGCTGCCTAAACTTTATCAGCATGTGAAATGTGCCACCAGAGGAGATAGGATATTAGACAAGGTCTATTCTAATATAAAACATGGCTACAGAGCTATGCAGCTCTCACATCTGGGCCAGTCAGACCATATGTCTCTGCTTTTAGCACCAGCATATACCCCCCTCAGGAAACAGGCTCCTACCAAAATAATGCCTGTCAAAATTTGGCCCGTGGGTGCCTCTCATCAGCTGCAAGACTGTTTTGAGAGAACCAACTGGGACATTTTTGACCATCCAGAGCATACAGTGGCAGTCCTATGCTATATTAAATATTGCATAGATTCTGTTACTGTGGATAAGCGTGTCCGGGTCTGCTCCAACCAAAAACCCTGGATGACTAGAGAGGTTCGACGACTGTTACGGGAGAGGAACATAGCCTTTAGGTCAGGCGACAGGAATTCATACAGTTGTGCCAGAGCTAATTTGAGGAGAGGTATTCGACGGGCGAAACTGCATTACAAGCAGAGGATTGAGGATAATATTAGGACACATAACACGCGGCAGGTGTGGCAAGGGATACAGCACTTAACCAATCATAGATCAAACCTCGCTGCTGTCGACGGGGACCCTTCACTGGCAGAGGAATTGAACCTCTTCTTTGCCCGTTTTGAGGTGGAGCCACCAGAGACAGCCGTATCACAGCTACCAGCCCACAGCGGCCCCTCCCACAGGGTGGAGGAGTATGAGGTGAGGCGCACGCTGAGGTCTGTGAATCCGAGGAAGGCTGCTGGACCTGATGGCATTGCTGGTCGGGTGTTGAAGGACTGTGCAGATCAGTTGGTGGGGGTCTTTACCAAGATCTTCAGTTGGTCCTTACAACAGTCTATTGTCCCACCTTGCCTCAAGTCCTCAACCATTGTCCCTCTGCCTAAAAAATCTACAAGCACCAGCCCTAAGGATTATAGACCAGTTGCACTCACCCCGGTTATCATGAAGTGTTTCGAGAAACTGGTACGTAGTTATATCACCTCATGTCTTCCATCTAACCTTGACAGCCACCAGTTTGCATACCGGGCAAATAGATCTACAAAGGATGCCATCAACACCACTCTCCATACTGCTCTGTCTCATTTGGAGCAGCCGGGGAGCTACGTGCGGCTGCTGTTTGTGGATTTTAGTTCCGCCTTTAACACCATCCTCCCTCACAGACTTGTATCCAAACTACAGGCTCTTGGACTTTCCAGCTCCATATGTCATTGGATTCTGGATTTCTTGACTGCCCGCCCGCAGAGGGTTAGAGTAGGTTCTCATATGTCGACTGCCCTCACTCTCAGTACCGGCTCCCCACAGGGCTGTGTGCTGAGTCCCCTGCTTTATACCCTATATACACAAGACTGTACCTCTACCCACCCCAGCAACACCATCATTAAGTTCGCTGATGACACCACTGTCGTGGGGCTTATCTCCGGGAATGATGAGTCCGCGTACCGGGATGAGGTAGAGTGGCTTTCTGGCTGGTGTCGGGAAAACAACCTGATCCTCAACACCGCCAAGACCAAGGAACTGGTGGTGGACTTTAGGAGGAATAAAACAGACATTAAGCCACTGTTCATTGATGGAGTCCAGGTGGAGAGGGTGGCCGCTTTTGGGTTCCTGGGCGTCATCTTTGAGCAGCACCTGACTTGGGGCGCTAATACCATTGCTTTGGTAAAGAAGGCCCAGCAGAGATTGTATTTTCTCAGTCTTTTGAAGAGAAACAATCTGAATGAGAAACTGCTGGTGTCCTTCTACCGCTGCACGATAGAGAGCATTTTAACATACTGTGTCTGTGCCTGGTTTGCCAGTTGCACAGCTGCAGACAGGAGAGCGCTCCAGAGAGTTATCACCAGAGCTCAGAAGATCATCGGCTGCCCCCTACCATCTCTGGAAGAACTGTACAGTTCCCGTTGCTTGAAAAAAGCACAAAACATTTTGCAGGACCCATCACACCCTGAACATTGTCTGTTTGAGCTGCTGCCTTCGGGGAGAAGATACAGAACAATTAAAGCAAGGACAAAC